AAAAAAGAGAGGGAAGGATGTTAAGTTAAATCCAATCCTCCCTCAGAAACCCACTCCTGCAATAGCTCATTCATTTCTGTGGAAGTAACATTAATCTACTCTTGAAGGTAGAACCTTTGGAACCCAACCATATCTCAGTACTGTTACACTGGGGACTCAGTTTCTAACACAGATAGTTTTGGGAACACATTTAAATCATAGAAACTACACAACTCAGAGTTTGTCACACTGAACAAGAAAGCTGAGCACTAATCCACAAATCATCCTTGTGTAATTTTCTGCCACAATTTCAGAACCTCTTATTGTGTTAGACTTTCAGGTTAGTTAATTTATATATCTTGCCCTTAAACTTTACATTTCTTGAGGCTATGTCTTTGCCATTTTTAATTTCTCTAGAACCTTTCTCAAGAATTGACATGTCATAAGAGACCACGATGTTTGTTGAGTCAGTTAATAAAGTATAACATTTTTAGATTTCCAGTAAGCTACCAACAGGTAATTACAAGACAGATGTATGTGATATATAAGTAATACTTTCGAAAAAATTAATTTTGTATACTATAGAATAAATTTTTAGTAGCATAAATTGATTGCAGACTAAATAACCAAAACTAATACTATTAGGGTGTCAAACCCCATTTGTTTCTAGGAATCTTACATAATTGTATTTACCTTTGTATGTGCTATATTTTATTTAATAAAAAACTGATTATTTTCAATCACAGATATTTCCTCATACAAATAGCATACTATATAAAACAAACCTGTATTAAGCTATTGCTCCTTTGCCTACCTATTTTTCGCTACAAAATACTCATTTATGCGTACAAATCAAATTAACTCACTTTAATTCTAATCAAAAGACAGAAGCATTGCCTTGACTTTCTCTAGCAAAACATGATCACAACAGTTTTGGTATTTTTATTATCCTAATAAATTTTTTAAGATGCTCATGTTGCATGAAAATAAAGTAGATTATTTGTACTATAACTTTTTGTCAAACTAACCAAAATAGTTTACATCCTGAGGAGTAAGTTTGCCATAAATTCAAAGGACTTCTACTTGGTGGTTTTTCAGGGTGTATCAGAATGCCATTTACAGTTGAGTTGTCTACATGTAGTTACATAATTACTCTAGATCTAGAGTTTTATGTATGTTCATATTTAAATGATGATAGACCCTTGGAACCCTTAAGTTTCAGTTTGTTTTTTTTTAATGTGCTGCCATTTTCTTATCAGCTGACACAACAATTTGCAAAAAGATCCAATAGGGCTTCCATATCCCATATCTGCAGAAGATATGTTTCCTTGTTATGTCTCACAACTAAACTAATCAGGGTAACTTCAAGTGAATTTGGGGAATAGATAAAGACACATACACAGAAAGTGCCTTTTCTTTGGGTTCAGTGACAGCTCCTAAGTTGCAACTCCCACAAGGGGGACTAGGCAGGAAAGAAAGAGAGTGAGGAGAACATGCTGAACCTTGTATTGGGTAGAAGCCATTCAAATGTGGCAAAGGGTCAGGTTTCAGGGGATTGAGTCTAGCTTTCTGATGTTTTTGCTATCAGCAAGTTGACTGACATCTAGGAAGGCCATGCCCATCTCATGTGCTGTGTGGGGATCATAGGAAGAGCAAGGGAAAAGACCCTTAAGTTGCCCACCCAAACAGAAGGGCAATGTCTGTTCAGTCCACCCTGTGTGTTCAGTGCTCATAGTTGATACACACACACAGTCCATGGCTGGCTTGCCACATCTCCACATTCTCATCATTCAGGGCTAAGGGGCATTCAGTTTCTATGTGGCAGTTCCCGGACATTTCTTTATACTTTTAATTTTGATACCTGTTAAAATGGAATTTGAGCCTTTCCTTAAGAAAACCTATATCTTTAATGATAGCTTTCAGGTAAACTTATTTAACCTTAAATAAAACCTATAAAAGAAACTCATTGCATAACTTCTCATTTTAGTTTTCTAAGGTTATTTTTTTTAAAGCAATGTGAGTCTTTAGTTTTGATTTATTCCAGAGCTTGAATTACTAATGAAATTGGTGTTTTTAGATGACACTAGATTCCCTATTTTACCAAATTTCCTTCTGGGTTCTTGTCTTGCAAATTTGAAGAATAAAATCCATTGACAAAAATGAAAGGTACGAGTAAGTGGAATAAGATTCATTTAGGAGAGAAGAGATTGGAACCTTGATATATGGGAGGGGGCCAGATAGTAGAAAAAGCCATTTAGATGTGTTTGCCTAGGTGCTTATATGGTTTGGGGTAGAGCATGGAGAAAAATCTGTTAAACAGGCACTGAAAAAGTATTGACTGTATATTTTAGACTGAATGTTAATCCTTTCTTTAAGTCTGATCTGGATTCACTTTCAACTTCCATTTTCTACCCTCTCTAGAAAAAAAGGAGTTGGCTGAAATGTTCCCACAGGTGAGCCTCAAAGACTTTTACATTTGAAATTCACCTTGATGTTGCCAACTAATATCTCTACTAGTTAGTCTCTGGGTGTGGCCTCTGCGTTTGAATCAGATCCTAGTTGGGGCCCACTGCCTGACCATTATCTATTCTTATTCACTAATGGCAATATTAAATAGGCATTATTAGAGCAGTTAGGACTGATTTAGAGAAACCCACTCAGTCCAAAGAATTTACTAACCTAGTCATGTTTCCTTGGAATTCTTGATATGAAATCTCAAGGAAGAGCTGATTTTACTTCTTAAAATAGTTAAATCTAATTTACCTCAAGATTTCTCTGTGATTACTCAGGTGAAAGGGAGGTATTATTACTAATTTGATATAGTTTTCATTATATCTCAGAACTTATTTTTCCCTCACCCAAGAGCAGTAAGTGAATCTAATTATATAAAATACTAGCTGCATTTATAAATTTCAAATTAGTGATCAAACTATTAGGATTTGGAAAATAAGATGAGTAATTATTATGTCCTTCATCAATAAATATTTATCTAATATTCTTATTCTGAGATATTAAAAATAAAATGGATAAAGTAACATAGAAAAATCCTCCCCAGTAAATTAGTTCTTTCATTAATATCGAATAATTTCTCAAAATTTTTCACTTTTTTGTCTTTAAGAGGAAAATTATTTATTTAAATTATGTGCTTCATAATTATGAGGTTTTCTGTACAATTGTTTCCTTTATATTTTTTCTCCTCTATCTTGTTTCTATCTCATTCCTGAAAAATAATTTTTGTATACTCTAAAAAGCCTTTTTCATTAAAAAAAAAATCAAGCCCACAGGGTGGCGCTGGCTTGTAATACCAGCAGCTCTAGAGGCTGAGGCAGGAGGATTGGGAGTTCACAGCCCTATTCAACAAGATGGGAAGGGGGTATAGGAAGGGCAGCAAAATAAAATAGACATTATTATTGCTGTATATATATACATGACTGTATGACCAATGTGATTCTGCAACCTGTACAATCAGAAAAATGAGAAATTATATCCCATTTGATTCAAATGTATGAAATGTCAAGAACATTGTACTGTCATGTGTAACTAATTAAAAAAAAAGTGAGGCACTAAACAACTCAGTGAGACTCTGTCTCTAAAAAAAAAAAAAAAAAAAAAAGACATAAAAAATTGGGCTGGGGATATTGCTCCTTAGTCCAGTGCCCCTGAGTTCAATACCGGATACCAAAACAATAACAACAACTAAACAATATCAACCAGATAACAAAAAAAAAAAACATTATTGATAGCTTTTCAGTTTCTAAATCCAGTTCCTCATAGGTCCCAAAAACCTCTGTTTTTTTTGATTACCTATATCTTAAAGAAGATCTCAAAAGTTTTTCAAAACAAATGGGAAACAGTGTTGAATAAGTTATTTCATTCACTGTTATAGTCTAATCTGGCTTTTTAAAAAAATAGAATGCTAAATAATTAATTGCCTTTATCTTATAGGGACCCCAAGACTCAGTAATAGGGAAAGAGAAATGAACTAACTTATAGATAAACAATAGAAAATAGATTATAGTTATAAACTGCTAAATGGAATATGGTTTTTGCATTTGCTAATGACATACTCCAGTTACTCTGCAAACCTTCCATGTGCTAGTGTTTTGATAAAGTGTTCACGATGAAGATGGTAATAACTCTGGAGTATCAGTCTTCTGTATGGCTTAATTCAGGAACTCACATAAAACCCCTTGATCTACCCATATTTCCTTTCATAGGATCTTTCTAATGGAACAAAAGGATCACCAGACTCACAGGATAGCACATAAGCAATCAAAGCAGGAAGACCTGATAGTTAGATAACTTCAGAACAAATGTCACATGGAATCATTTGATTATTCTATCTTGGGCCTACTCCCATCTTTAACTAATTGTTATTGCCAAGAATAGTATAACACTCTTCAGGAAAGAGAGGTTGTTACCAAAGGAGAGATAATTCCTGAAAGAGACAAAGTAAAGAAAGGAAGGAAGAAAGGAAAAGAAGGGGAAAAAGAAAGAGTTAAAAAGCATTACTCTCTGGCTGTGCACCATGGCTGCAGTCCCCGTGGTTCAGGAGGCTGAGGCAGGAGGATTGCAAGTTCAAAGCTAGCCACAGAAATTTCGGGAGGCACTAAGCAATTCAGTGAGACCCCATCTCTAAATAAAATATAAAATAGGGCTGGAGATGTGGCTCAGCAGTGGAGTGCCTCTGAGTACAATCCCTTGTTCCCCCCACAAAAAAGCATTAGTCTCTTTTCCCAATGTTATATAGGTTAAATCTTTAGATATATATTTTACAATATGTTTTTAATGCTTGAATTTTAGTTCTAATATTGAGTCATATCTTCAATCTCTTCCCCAAGGAACTCTTCCTTAAAGATAAAGGCAATAATTATTTATTCTTTTGTCCAAACACTCCAGATTAACCTCTAACACTGAAAAGTAAATATCTTATAGGTTTCTTCTCACTCATTCTTAACCAGCCATTGTTCCATAGGAACAATAAATGAGTAAATAAACATTAAGACATACATAAGTCTTACCTTCTCTACAAAGGCAATGATGACTTCCATCTGCTGAAGTCAGGCATGTTGCATTGTTTTTGCAAGGCTCATTGAGTAGATCACAGGGGTTAGAGTGCTGATGGCAAAATTGTCCAGTATAAAAGGGTGGGCACAGGCATACAAATTGCCCGGGGATGGTAGATTCATGACAGAGAGCTCCATTCATGCATGGGTCAGAATCACATTCATTTATTTCTTCACTACAGTTTTGTCCGGTCCATCCAGATGCACATTCACAGCTGAAATAAAAATTTTAGGAAATGTGAATGGTATTTTTTCAAGTTTATCTCATGCATTTATTGTGTTGCACCAAAATATGTGGTACTTTAAACTTATAACAGGATTAATAAATTATACATAGTTGAGAAACATTGTTTGCCTAATTTTCCTGGAACATTTTAGTGCATTTTACTATCAAAGTGACCGTATTGACTGAAATAAGATTTAAGAGGCATTTAGTTAAATTTCTAACATAGGCATCTGAAATATATCAGATTATAATTATTGAGCTGAAATACCAATTGAGCATATTTTCCCCACCATTTCGTTAATGTAAAATATATTTTTTTACAGATGAGATCACTTTTTATAAGCCTGAAATGAATTCAATGTCCTTAGCAATATGTGATTCTTGTAATCACCAGAACTCTTAATAAAGTTCTCCTTTAAACATCTATGTTTGGTTTCAATTTTTTATTGGCTTACTCACTGAAATATTTGACATATTTTTAAAAATGTTTTCCCAAATGGTACTGGAATAATGTGAAAAACTGAATAGAAAGTAAATAATTAAAAATAAAAGCATTTGGATCTTGTCTGCATCTTACTGACTCAGTCTACCCCTCAACCACCCAATATGTTCCATAGTCTTCAAATGCCAATCACCTTTCATCAAACTAGCCTAGTTCTGCTCCTAAGAGCAAGAGGATTCTAACAGCGCAGGGAAAGGTTTTTCACATGAAATATTATTCACATAAGGTGAATGAATATGCTGTAATGAAACCCACAGATGGAGAATAGATGCTTAGATTGTTCACTGACTAGTTAAGTGGAAGTCAATCACAAACTGTACTTGCATTCAGAAATGGAACTTGAATCAATTTGTGAGAAATGTAGAATTGCCTTCTTGAATAACTGTACAATTCAGGCAAGTAATAAATCATGAAATGAGGCAGAGGAGACATCTAAAGATCTTTTTCAGAGAAAAAAATTCATTATTGACAAATTTGTATTGTTGTATAAGTTACAAGGAATACCGTAAAGCTGAAACTAACTCTCTGGCCTAATTGATAAGAAATATTGTGCTTAAAAGATGAGGGGAGGAACGAAAGGTAGGAAGGAAAGAAGATGGAAGGAAGGAAGGAAGGAAGGAAGGAAGGAAGGAAGGAAGGAAGG